AATAAAATAATTAATTAAATAATTTAAAAAAATAATATATTAATTTTATTTTTATTAATTATTTATTTTAAAAATAAAATTTAATAATATATATAATAAAAACTAAATATAATATAACTGTAGGCTTAATTAATAAAAAAAGCTTTTAGTAAAAAAAATAAAAAAATAATAATTTAGCTATTTATTATAATTAATTTTAATAATAATATAAATACTATAAATATAAATAATTAACTTTAAAGTTATTTAAGCTATAATTATTATTTTTAATAAAGTAATTAATAGTTAATTTTATAGTTTTTTTTATTAAAAGTTATATTTATTAATAGTTATTTTTTTTAACTATATAAGTAGTTAAGTTAACAGTGCTATATTAATTAAGTTAAGTAGCAATAGCGTTTTATTAATAATATTTATAAAATATATAGTAAATTAAAGTTAAACTATTAAAGATTTTAAGCTAGTAATAAATTTATATTTATTTTATAATATAATTATATTAATTAGAAAAAACAGGCTCAGTGTACTGTTTGCTAAGGCTTTTAAGTTAGTTTAATAAGGTTTTAAAGACCTTTTGTAGAAATAAGTGGAAATAGCTTTAATTATAAAGTATTTATAATGGTAATGGGTTACGATAAGTGTAATATAGCTATTTATATTTAGCTAAATTACTGGGATTTATATTATAGGTTAATTTTAGCTGGTAATTAATATACTTTTTATTTCCGGCGGTTTAATTAGTTATAATCTTAGTAAAGTATATAAACTGCACTTTACTGCATTTAAAGGGATATACTAGAACTGCACTAGTTAAGTGAGCTGCCCCAACCGCTGCTATCCCTGGGTGTGTTGTTTGGAAAAGACATAAAGTGCCCCATTATAACTTTACTACCCCCCTAAAATCAGTAGGTTTTATAATTTCCAACGATAAACTTTAACATTATATTTTTTTATAAAAAATTATTTTATTAAAAAAACTAAAATTAAAATTTATTTATTATCTTTTTTTAATTTATTTAAGTTATTTTAAAGGCTTTTTTTTTTAAATAAAAACTATATTTAGCTTTATATATATTAACAGTTTATTATACTTTAAACTTAACTTTAATAATAGCTAAAATTAATAAAAAAGTATTATTAAAATTAAAATTAATAACTTTACAGTTAACTAGCTGCTTTAATTAAACTTTAGTTTTTAGATAATTATTTTTCTTTTTTAAAATTATAATTATTATATTTTTTTAATTAATTTTTTATTAACTTTTTTTATAATTATATAAAACCTTTAATTAACTAAATTAAAGGTTTAATATAATATATTAAATTATAAATTAATATTATAGTTATTTTTTAATATATATTAAAAGTAATTATAGTTTTTTTATTTAAATTTTAATATTATAAATTATTATTATTAAAATGTTTTTAAAATAATAATATTAAATTAAATAATATATTAAAATAGTTTTTTTATATTTATAAAATAAATTTTAATAATTTAAAAATTAACTTTAATATTTTTAATTATAAATACTTTTTTATTAGTTTTTTAATAAGCTTAAATAAACTTTTACTTTTAAATTAGCGTTAATATATTAAATAAAGTAAAGTTTTACATTTATTAATAAAAGAAAGTCTTTAATAGTAAAAAAATATTTATATTTAATAATTATATTATATATAAAATATATAAAAAAAAATAAAAAAGCTATATATAATTTAATTAAACTATATATATAAATTTAATTAAAATATATATTTTAATATTATTAAAAATAAAAAAGTATTAAAAATTATAAATTTTTAATAAAAAAACTTTTTTAAATTATTTAAAAAATAATTTAGCTGTTAAATTAATTAATTAAGCTATAATTATAAGCGTAATTAAAAAAATTCTTTAAAAACTATTACTTTAAAAAATTAATTTTAATTAATATAATATAAAAAATAAAATAATAGTTAATAATATTTATATATTTTAAAACTATTAACTATTTAAAAAAATTACTTTTTATAATTATAGTTTTTTTTATTAAGCTTATTTTAAATATTTTATTAAAAAAAGTTTTACTTTTTATAATATTAATTTTATTAAAATTAAATAATTTTATTATATTAATATTTTTAAATTTAATTTAATTATTTAAATAACTATAGAAGGTTTAAAGTATTTTTTTATTAATATTAATAATTTAAGCAGCTTTAAAAAATCTATTTACTTTAAACTTATTTTTTTTATATTATTAAAAAAAGCAGTTTACTTAATTAAAATTAATAAATCTATTTTTACTATTAATAATAATAATAAATTAAATAAAGGCTTAAACTTACTGCTTTATTAAAGAATATTTAGTAGTTTTTTTAATTAAAATTTAACTAATTAATATTTTTTTTATATAGGTAATAATTTTTAAGTATTAACTTTAACTTCCTAAATTATTTAATAACCTTAAAGTTAGTTTTATAATATTAATTAAAGAATTTTAATAAATTAGTTTATTTTAGTAATTAAAGTACTATTATAAATATAATAAAGGGCTTTTATAATTAAAGTTTTTTTATTAATCTTTATGCTTTTTATAATAGTAATTTTAATATAATATAATAAAAATTAGTTTTAATATAACGATAATAACTTTATGGTGTTAAAGTTATTATATCTTCTATAACGTGCCGACCTTGGGGGGGTGGCGAAGTTGTGGTGGGGCACTCTACTGAGTACTGACTCCGGCAAGCCACCCTTTTTCGGGAACATGCATGCTTACCCTGGTCCCTTGCCTTCACCCCCCAACCTTGGCGGCATGCATTGCTCCCCATCATGTCCAAATTGGGAAGGAGAGCAGTGCGTTTGGCAGCTGAGCCACGGCCCTCGGCTAGACCATGTCGCTCGCAGGCGGGAATGCAGCCAAGAAACCCCGGCTTGCGTTCGAGATGCCGCCAGTACCCTGTCCGCGTATGGGTGAACGGCAGCTGATGATGCAGGGTTTGTTCTGCTCGCCCGGGAGAAATTACTCTCGGTTCTGCGTTGAGCCTCGACGCGGATTGGCATAGGACCTTGCAGGAGGCAATTGATGGGATAGATGGCGAGGTGCCCGAGAGTTGTCGACCATAATCGTGTTCCGCTTCGTTCTGCTCTTTAGAGAGAAAGCAAGCCACCTGACATAGCGCACCGTGGAACGTCGAGGCCGATCTGTTGGACCCCTTCGTGGATATAAGAGATGACTTCCAATCCAGTACACACCACGGCACCATGCAGTGATGTCGTACTGCTTCCTGTGAAGCTCGACGCCTTCGTGCTCAACGAAGCCGTGTGCAACGGCGGGGCATTTGACGCCAAGATCGCGCCCATTACCCAGCCAAACTACACGTTCCTCCGCCTGGACGATTTCTATCTCCAGAACGATGTGCTCAACCATGTCGACTTGCACGCAGCGTCGCCGGCGGAGAGGAATCCGCGGGTTACTGATTTGCGGACTGCGAGTCGGCGCAACAACCGCCTGGGCGTCTATCTTCACTGGACGCTGCCGCGTGTCTACCGTCTCGCCGCCACCACTCAGGAGGCAGGCGAGTTTCGTCAAGATATGAGCAAGCAGCAACTGGTGCCGACGCGGTGGCTTGTCGTCAGGCAGCTCGATCTTGCGACCGTCGAGCCAAAAGGGGCCGTCGCGGACGAATTCGACTCGTGGGTGGTCGAGAGCGACCGCAAACGCGACTTGTACCAGGACCTCACCGAACAGGATGACATGGAGGTTGACGTCTCACCTTTTGTGTCGGCCGAAGTGAATGCCGCGGGGGGGGCCATTGGCGACCAGGCCGAGGTGTTTATTGGCAAGAAAACGTCTCTCCGGTCCTGGGAGGAAGATCTCAACGCGCCGCGCACCAGAGTGAGCGTTTTTGACAGCTCGAACCAGCTGTTTCCCGATTACCAGCCACACAACTCCAACGTCTTCAGCATGATCGACCCCCTGGTCTTCGACGATGGCAAGCAAAAGCTGACCAAGGCGAATGCGAGCTACTTCGTCATTGGCTGGCACGCCCAGGAGGGCCAGGACCCATTCGCCGTCGGCGACCATGGCGCTTCCCGCAAGGACCGACTCCGCGCGCTCTCCATGGCCCTAGCTGACGGCCACATTGATGACGTGCAGGATTGGCTTAACGGCCCAGCTGGTAGCACTCGCGTCCTCTGTCACGGTGCCATGTACGACGTCGAGTGGGATATATCCCAGAAACCGCGAAATGTGCCTGCCGACGAGTACGGCCGCAAGCTCAACGAGCAAATTCCCATCTCGCTCGGCACCACGCCCATCGACGCGCTCATGGCCTACTTTGACGGCTACAAGTCCATGGACAAGGCGAGGATCGAGCGTGCCGAGGCGAGCGTTGACGCCATTCAGTTTCTGCTCCACTCCACGGATGACGGCGTGGAGTCACAGAGACGGGCCGAAGACCTCCTCAGCAGCACCCTCTACATGAGCTCCGATGGTGGAACCGAATACCACTTGGCCGCCGGCGACAGTTCGGCTCCGAGCGGCGGCATCAGCCGAGAGGAAGAGGCCAGGAAGAGGGCGCAGAGAGCTGCCAACATTGTCAAGTTGAAAGAGCTCAACAAGGCCCAGGCCCTACTCGATTCTGCCTCGCGTCAGAGGCAGGAAATGCAGTGGGACATGTTCTCGCTCTGGTGGAGATACCTGAGCGATCACAACGGGGCAGCCAAGGCGGAGCAGATTCGGCAGGCCGCCCAGGATCTGCAAGCGCGGGCTCAGGATCTGGACGAGACAATCGAACGAGTTGTTGCTTCCATGCAATCGGACGGCGGTCTTAGGGAGGGGCTCCCGGGGACAAAGAGCGGCGCCAAGGCCCCGTTTGTCAAGCCCCTCGATCCGACCCTGCTGATCGGCGGAGTCCCGACCGGGTGGGAGCACGATTTCCTGAATCCCACCCAAGTTCGGCTGCCCTCACAGGCCATTGGAAGCGTGGAGATGGAGGGTGCAGATTCTGCCAACATACCCCCGGCCATGGAACCGTTGGCCTCGCTGGCAAAGGCACGGCTGCCAAGCCATCTGTCTCTTGCTGTAGGATGCCTCCTTGCTGAATTCATAGCTCTGAATCCACGAGCTGGCGGCAATAGCGGCGGCGCCCGGGCCACCAAAGTAATGCCCCTTTACCACGACCAGCTCCCGACCAAACCCAATGGTTCCCCCTCGCCCTGGAGGGACAGATGGAATTCAACGCAGCCTTGGTTTCCTCTGTTTGTGGAGTGGGAGGCCGAGTACATCCACATCCCCTTGGAGCACTGGGAGCTTCAGGAGAGCACATCGTCCAGATCTTCGGTGGAAAGACTGTCGTACCAGATCAAGGAGGACGTCGACCTCGCGACGGTCGCCCTTCAAAGTGGCAGGCGCCTCATTTCGGGCCGGAATCTGCTGCTGCCCCAGCCCGTTGTCTCCCTCCGTGAGATCATATCTCAGCTGCTGGCCGACACCCCGAGCTCGACCCTGGAAGCAACCCTCCCAAAGGAAAAGCGGACCGAGCTCGAGGCCTGGTTCAACCAGCTCGCATTCCTGTCGGCGCCGCTCAGTGGCTTCGTGGACCACCTAACCACCAGGTTCCAGGGCAGCCACGTCAAGCCGTCCGTCCGCCTAGCCGACGGAAAAAGAGTCATTGCCGACGCACTCAGGGCGGGCGCGGGCGCCGGATTCACGGCCGACATGCTGCATTTCATTGGCGACGCGACAACCCTAACACCATACGGCACCTCGGTCTTGGTGCCACGGGGCTCCAGCGTTTTCCATCCGGCAACGCATGGGCAGCTGCGATTGGTCAAGCTCAACATCATCGACAAGTTCGGCCAAGTCATCCACGCCATCGACCAGGGCATGTCTCCCGAGGACGCCGCGCCGCTTTACCCGTGCATCAGCGAGCGACTGCGACCCCAGGCCGTGCACGGCGAACCCCTCGTCGCCAACACGGTGAAGAGGGCGCCATCGGGCCTCTGCGAGTTTGTCCAGCTGCCGCCGCGCATCAACCAGCTAGCCCGCCTGAACGCCGATTTTGTTGAAATCCACGACGGACCCGGGGGCAGGGCGGTCGTCAACCGCCTGCGCGAGGAGGAGAATCCCGTCTGGGGCTGGCTCGTCGTCAACTTTCCCAACAACGGCCTGCAGCTGTTCCAGCCCGACGGTGCCTTTTACCGCGAGATCCGCTTCGGTGGCCCCGCCGGCACCCTTGCTTCGGACAACTGGCTGCCATTCGCCCCGTCTGCGGACGACGCCGCTCGCCAGGCCGCCTCCCCGGGCACGGCACAGCTCAACAAGCTCATCGACAAGCTGCGAGACCCCGAGTACATGCGAGGCTTCGTCAACATGATCGAGGAGGCGTCGAGAAACACACCTGCCGCGCCCGAAGCATACTCTGAAACCATTCAGTCAATCATCGGGCGACCTCTTGCCCTCGTCAATGCCGCCTGGTCCATTGAGCTCGCCCACGAAGAACTCAACAACCTGTCCGCATTCCACGAGGTCAAGGACTCTGATCAGACCCTTCTCGACCAGTACGAGCACACTACTAGGTACTCATTCCCCGTCAAGCTTGGTGACAAGGGTCGCTTGTTCGACGGCTTGATTGGTTATTTTAAACGCCGCGATGAGGACGCCGCGGTCGCCGGTGATTTCTACGACCTCGACACCCTGAACACGTCGTACGTGTCGCGCCCGCAGGGCCCCGGCGACCGCCGGCGGGAAATCACCCCGGAGCACTATCTCGGCCTCGAGCCGACGTGGGCATCGCCGCTCGACGACATTCCCCGCGGCGGCGGCGCCGACCTCGCCGTCGAGGCATACGAGGCGGCCTTTTCGCGCAACCTGTCCGTCGTCGGCGCCGTTATCGACCCGTTCCGCGCGGTGCACGCTTTCAGCGGCGTGCTGCCCCCCAAGGCCCTGCGCCTCCTGCCGTGGGTGTGGGAGGAGGCGTTCCGCAAGATGACGGCGTTTTTCCACCTCGGCCCCCTGGTCATTCAGGGCGACGTGCCCCCGCTGGACGTGCGGAATCGCCTGACGGATCGATGGGACGAGGTGACCCCCGTGAAGTCTGACGTGCGGCTGCATATCGCGCCCGGTGTGGACTGGGCCTGGCTGCAGCCATATGCAGTAGAGAAGACGAAGAAGGGGGGGCAAGAAGGTAATGGTGAAGAGGGCAAGGATGCGGGCCTAGAGACAATCTTTATGCCATTGGCTGTCGACCAGGTTCCGCAGGGACTCAAGTTGAGTCCGGGCCCGTATACAGCTATCGATGGGTACATGCAGGTGAGAAAGTCTCTACAGTAAGTGATCAGGTTGGGCAACGTTTGGTATTCGGCTGTAATGCGAGGCAATTACAGAACTCAATGGTCCCTGCCGCCACAGCAATATGGTAGATGAAGTAATCTAGAGATTCCAACTACGGAGACTATGCACACTATTACGAGTGAAGTCTTATGGGCCTTTTTGACCGATCCCGCTGGTCCCGAATCTCCGTATATCCCTATCCATAATCACCACAGGAGAGGCAAAACACAATGCCAATTTCACGCGTGGCAAAGCGGATTTTATTTAATTTATATATCGCGAGAATTCATGCTTGAAGAGCTGTCACAGGAGTCATAGCCTCGGCACAGCTCCATACTCATTGCCATTCCATAATCGATTGCAAGAAATGCAAGAAACGTCCTAACTTCCTCCGACCCTCACTAGATCTAGATCATCTCACATCCCATTTACTTCTGAGTCGGCTTTTGGGTGGGGGGAGCTGGGGCTGGCGTGGCTTTTCTGGCATCGGAAATCTTTTTCAGCTCCTGGCCAAATAGTGGCGCAAACGATCCCACCAGTTTGAGCGCGTCGATTACTTGTTTGGGCATCTTCTTGATTTCACCCAACGTCTCGGCGGCGGTGTCGACCCAAGAGAGCAGTCCTTCGAGAAATCGAATCTATAGTAGGTTGATAGTTGGTTAGACAATCATCTCCTCGCATGGGCCTTCGCATCGTCCTCTCGATGCACACGAATCATGGGCCCTAGCGTACCTGGTAGACCTTCCTCTTGGGATCGTGGAGCACGAGGAAGCGGCCATTGCCGTCTTGGTTGCTCTGGCCGTACAGGAATTCGTTGGTTACTTTGAAATTACCCAGGGGGTGGGCTGTCATAAACGTTTCTATCTTATCTTGGGCTACAAACAAGTACCCCTTAGGCTTGGTTTCTATATCGACGTGTCAATGTCTCGATTCTGCCCGTTGCCGAGGTGCTGGCAATGTTGAGGAACAACAGCAACTAACCCTTTGTCTTGTTCGTGAATCCAATCACATAGTAAGTGTCGCTCTTATTGGCGAGGAAAATACCCTCCTGCCACTTGATGAGTACGGGGTAAGTTCTGGCGTAGTTCACGTCGAAAGAGCAATCGTCGTCGGGATTGACGATCAATAGGCTGAGATCGACCCTGTCCAGCACAGGATCGGATCCTTCCTTGAGCTTGGAGGGTTTGAACCCTTCCAGAACGGCGGTCTCAAGATTTGGCTCCGTGGCCGCGGGGCCGCTGGGAGGCTTGACTTGAGTCTCTGTGGACGCGGGGCCTCTGGAAGGCTTGGCTTGAGTCTCCGTGGCCGCGGGGTCGCTGGAAGGCTTGGCTTGAGTCTCCGGCGCCGTCACTGTCGGCGCCTCGGAGGTGGCGGGTTGATCGGTTACAGGGCTAGACATGATGAGGTAGCACAATGGATAAAATCTTGGAGATTGAAAGGGCCGATCAGTTTACACTTCTACATGGGTGATGAGGTTTTATACTCAACTATCAGACCATCATGTAATGTGATCTACTATCGAGTTAGTTCCCTCATCAAGTTAGTGTTCATTAGTTCATTATACATAAACTCGTAAATATTTCATGGAAATAAACCTACAAAAGAAGTTCTTTTTATTTCTAACAAGTAATTAGCAGGGATAATAAATTGGAATATTTTACACGGAGTAATCAAGTGGCCATCATGATGGACTAACGCGCTTGGCGTGGCTGGCTGACCTCACACTATCGCCGTTGCGGTGGCACGGCTCGCACTATTGGGCGCGCCCCCGCAGCACTCCTTGCCGAGAGTAGGGGTCGGATTTTACAGCCACCCTCTTGAAATAGAACGATCGCGACCCGCTGTAACTGGAAATTCAGCTAAATTCAACCCACATAAATATAAATCTCTTAAAGATAAAAGTAATTTAATATAATTATATTTTTAAAATTCTTTCTATAACTATTCTCCTAAGCTTTTTTATTGTTAGTTTTTTATTGATTTTAACTTGTTAAAAAGGATAAAAACTTTTAGAAAAGGAATTATCTAAAGATAAAATATTTTAAGGGGGGGGATCCTGAGTAGTTTTCCAGGCCTTGCTTAGATAATTTATGGATCCTATGCCTTAAATTATAGGTCCTACCCCCTAAGTTATAGGTCTTACCTCTCCTATTAAATTAGCGGTATTTCTAAGTTGGCCCTGTATTGGTAAAAGAGCTGAAAATGGCCGTAATACGTAATACAATTACAAAGGAGGGCGACCCCCAGCCGAGAGTAGGAATCGACTGCAATAGATTCGGGTACGGGTTAATTAGTGGCGTTCATGGATCGGCTACGGCGATCTGGAAACAGAGTGTCGATACAACCACGCCCCTCTTGGCCTTCCGTCTCCCCCTCGTATCGACCAGATATTGATGCCTTCAGCTCGAACGAGACACGGCCAATACTCCAATCTGGTGATAGATTTATTGTTCTAGCCATGGCCAGACCAGGCTGGAGCCGCCTTTGTACACGTGTCCAGTCCAGTATCCCAGCTGAGCAGTTCCCGTGGGGTCTTCAGCATGCTACGAGTAGCCTCGAACAACCAGCAGCCACCAGGCCCAAACTTGTAGCAACATACATCCGGGGGGCTGTAGTAGCCTCGCAATGCCGGTCTAGAAATTGTCTCGAACGTCTCCCATCTCAGGATATTTCACGGCGATAGGTCGTTGCAAGGATCAAGATCATCAATTCCTGGGTACGACTTTTCATCCCAGCCTTTCTCTTGCACTTTCCAAAAGAACATCAGGCAACATGGCTGTCGCCGAATACCTCAATTTCGCCTACAGGCTATGCTCAGCGGCAGCTACAAAGGCCGTGAACCAGGACTTTGTCTACAGTACTGCATGTGTAGACCCTGAAGTCGTAGATGCGCACGTCCACCTCGTTGCAGATCCAGCCAACCTCGGCTTGAAGAAGAAATGGGGCGATGTCGTCACCAAGCACAATCTGCTCAAGTACCTAAGCAGTGACAGAGCCGTCTATTCATCGTTCTCTCAATCGGGATTGCACAAGTATTTGTTCTTGCGAAACGTCCAATGCAAGAACGCGGATAGGGCAATCAACGACCCTGTGCTCATCGCCTCGTATCTCCTTTCCATCACTGGCTTCAACGGTGTCGTCTTCCCGGACGACCCATTATATGCGAAACTGGAACAGAAGATGCTGTCGACCGATGAGTACTATGCTCTCCTCCGAGACAACGAGGACGTGCTAGAATCTGGCAAGCGAAGACTCCTGAAAAACGCCATGAGCGGCAAGATGCCCCCCAAAGGTGTTCGAATTCTCTTGTTCCAGGATTCAATCAAAGTCGTGGAGACGATTTTGGACGGCACGAGACAGGGTGTGAGGGTTTCAACCACGAACAAGCACACTTTTCGTGATGGGTACTCCCTCCACATGTTCCAGCTGCTCGGGCAGGACGAAGGCGACGGCACAAGTCAGATCCGATTCCTCAACCAAGGCGAGGGCAAGACAACGGTTCCGTTCTTCGGGCCCATCAACAACGCCGTGGCGAGCATGATGTGGATGGCTAGCGGGATCGCCGGAGCCTCTCGATACGACTTGTTCATGCAGGCCTTACCAAAGACAGACGACGAGGTCCAAGCCTTCGTTGATGATTCGCACGGGAAGTTCTTGGACGCCATCCTAGACAGGCCCGAGAGGGGTTTCCTTGCTGCCAAAGCTTTCTGCTGTATCACAGGAACAGCCTTGGGCCCCTTGAACACGCGTTTGGTGGCTTGGTACATGTACAAAGATGACCTTGCCAAGACGAGAGCGGAGGCAATGTTGGAATCTGCCAAACACTGGAATGCGCTCCAAATTACAGCTGCCAAGAAGCGAATCGACGTCGACGATGCTTTCATGGCCAAGTACGACTTGATGGGCAAGGCGGCCAAGAGCGGCGAATTTCTCAGAATGCTTCAGCTTGCTGTGATAAAGGATGCAAATGTCGAAACACGACCTCTAGAGCAACAGAACCAGCCCGGAGGCCTGTATGACGCGAATGGTGAACGTTACTACGCACCACTCATTGAAGAACCACGTCTTGGCGATCCAGGCCACTGGGATGAGGACCTACAGCAGGAACTCCAGCGCATTACAAAGACGGCTTTCAGGGACAGACTTGTGAGTCAAGGAGCCATCATCCAATTCCAAGAGAGCATGGCCAGGAGAGTCAACGAGTATCTTGAAAATAAAACGGCCTCTCTTCGTCTACAAGACATTCAAGCTTCTATCCAGTTGGACCGCATGGTCAACGAATTCCTGGTTCCCATCTTGGCAGAATCCAGTCCTGCAATCCTAGAAGGAATTTGGGCTTATGCGACTCAACATCAACTTACTCCAACCGGCATGGAATTGCAAGTATTTAGGAGACAAGTCACTACTCGAGTTAAGGTGCTTTACCTGAGAGACATCTACGCCGTCTTCGCTGATCGAGGAGGGTTGCTGGAGGTATGGGTGGCCAAGACTGTCGAAATGGCGTTCTGGGGTCCAGAGAAGCGCCAAAAGTTAGTCGAGGAAAGGGACGAGGCAATTCAACAGGAGGAGGAATCCACCATCAAGCTGAAGGAGTACAAGGACGAGCAGACAACCGCTCAGGGTGCGAGAGCTCAGGTGTTACGAGAGGCGATCGAGCAAGTGAAGGAAGATATTGAGAAAAGAGAAGCGGAGGTAGAGGCATATGAAGACAGGCTCAAGCTCAACAAGAGAATTTCCAAAGGGCCAGTGCCAAAGGATAACTACCAAGAGCAGGAGTCATTTCTTCTCGACAAGCTTTCGTAGAAGCCTATCCCTTATTCCGCAACAAGTTCTATTAAAACTCGTTAAAAATTATACGTAGTGTGCAGCACACCCCCATTTCGTACTCCGGGCACCCCATTTTCAGCCCACCTACCAGTTATAGCAAGTAGGTTCCAGATCATTAAAAATAGCCTTTTTCCATACAAAAAGTCCATCTTCCGTATCAATTAAATTAGCCAGCATACCTACAGCTTGCTGTTGAATCCACAGCCCCAGGGCCCCCACATTGAGTTCCCCTAAGCAACAGTACAATCCAACCACATCGTATATATCCACTTAGCCACTTCCACTTCCACTTCCAACGGACGTAATCCACATCCACTATAACCTCAAGATGCCAAATATACCCAGGTTCACCCATTCTGGCACTTGAAAAAGCGACTGGTATGCCCCCTGTATAGGAATCACTCTAATCTACACCAATATCGCTGCGTAGGACGATTTAGATCCATACGTTCAGATGAAGGTCCCGCAACCAGGGGTTTCAAAGGGCCGGCCGAGAAATCTCTACAGCCCGTTCGGGAACGAACCTGCTGTCGAGCCAGCTACTGGACCACAGCAGGCCAGTCAAACCGGTATACCAGCCAGCGGCCGCCGTCGGTATTCGCAGTGGGAACAGGGGCCAGATTTAGATATACTAGATCAGAAAGATAAATCACAGGAGGTCGAATTATCTCATATTACTGTTGCTTAGGAGGAGGATCTAAGCTAAACGTATTATTGTGTGGGATCTAAGTGGAACGTATACTAAGCTGTAATTCAATTCACGTGTTTTCTAATCAATTGAGATATCTCTAATTACTTAGCATAGTATTTTTCCTTCATATGGGTGGATATTAGGGAAAAGTTAAAGAAATATAGTTGTGAAGAATATTATATTGTATATATATCCTATCTGAAGTACGTATACTGCTTTGTTCTGGTAAGTGAATAAAGTTTCCACTTCCCAGCAGACTTTTAAGATATCCGACTACTCCTTTAATGCCTATACTTTTGTGAGGGTCCAGAGCCGGGGTGCAGTGGTAAGTGTATTCAACGAACTGCCTAGCTATAATCAGGGACGTACAAAGAGATCTCGCTGGGGAGGGGAGGTCCTGGGTTCCCTGGGCTTCCTCTTGTCTTCATATACACGTTACGACCGCCTGTTCCTTCCTTGCTTCCTCTCTTCCTAGCTTCCTAGCTCCCTGGCTCTCTCACGTCTGGTCAACCTGCCTATACCGAAGTCTCTTCTAATTAAACTTCCTATATCAAGGCTTCATTATAGAAGGTTTCCTTAGTTTTATCTATACATCTATAAGCGCTATCGGGTTAAGTCTAAGTAGGGCGGCTTTATAGTTTTAATAGACTTAATTATTTTTTTTTTTTTTCCTTTTTATATTTTACTTATTAAAAGTATTATTATAATAATATTTTAATACTATTTTAATTATTTTTAATAATATAATTAAAAATATAATAAAGTTAAATAATAAGCTTATAGTAAAACTACAGTAAGTTTACAGTAAACTTTTAATAATTTAATAGTAAATTTTTAATATTAAATAAAAAAAAATAAAAAAAAACTATTATTAATTAATTTATTTTATTTAATAAAAAAATAATAGTTTATTTAAAATAAAAATAATAAAAGTTTAAAAAAAAAAATAATTAATTTTAAATAATAATTATATTTTTTATTAATATAAAAAAATATAAAAAAATAAAAGATTTATAATAATTAATTAAATAAAAAATAATAATTAAAAAAAAAAAATAAAAAAAAAAATAATAAAAAAAAAAATAAAAATAATAAAAAAAAAATAAATTATAAAACTATATTTAATAATTAATAATAATAATTAAATTAATAATTAAATTAATAATTAAAAAAATAATTAAAAAAATAATTTTTTTTTATTATTTTATTTTATTTTTTTTTTTATTTTTTTTTT